TATAATGTCTGGTTTTTATAGAATAACATGTATACCATCCATAACCATAAATTCATTGTCTGTGGTTGTAGGTGTTAGTTATGCCATCTGCAAATATAGCAACAGTGCGTTCCTTGGAGCGAGATTCCCTGGCTTGTACAATTGCAAGGGCTGGAGACAATGTAGCTGGAGACCTGCATGGAATAGATTGAAATCATGTGATGGCTGGTGGTGTGCTACGTCACCCTGATTTTCCACTTGCAATTGCCAAACATTTGGAGTTGAAGTTGCTTGTCTTGGATGGTGCAACCCCTATTTTAATTGGTTCTCAGGCAAGCTTCCTCTGTACATTTTGTGGTTCTTTTGTCTGCGATGTTTTGGTTTATCTAAACATTCTTATAATCTGAATGGAATAATCAGTTGGAGTTTCATATACACCATGCAAAAGAGGTTGCAAGAGTTGCAAGGATATCATCATTACTGGATTCAAAGACTGGGAAAGTCACAAAGAAAGCACCCCGCTGTATTGTTGCTAAGCAGAGTGGAGTCGTTGAGGCAAGCCAGGAGGATGATGTTGTCGTTGTTGCTAGTTGCTGGTTTATTTGAGTTATTGGCCTGATAATTGCAATCAAATTTGTTTTGACCACGGTCTATTTTATACTTCCAATTAATTTTGAATGAAGCAGTTTGTGTGGGAGAGTTTTCAAAATGCAAAGCCCTTGGAAGGGTGTTTCTTAGAACTTTAGGAAGAACAGTTCCGAATAGTTGAGGAGCAGTAAGTAATAGTTTTCAAGTGTGGTCATGCACTTCAACAGCTTTCAACCATTAGAGTTCCTGTCTTGGTGAATGGACACCTTGGTCAGGGAGGAGTTTCTGTACTGGTTACCATTGATGATCCATATAGACAAATGCTAAGTTTTTATAAAACTTGGAAAAGAACATAGGCATTTCTTTTGTGCGGCTTTATCCGCTCTATGTGTGTTGCAGTTGCAGAGACAGATTTAAGCTTTAGACTGTACCATTTCTGGTGCAGGCTGTACGGTCAAATTGATTGATTCCTTATATGGTCAAAGGCTATGTGAGGTCCAAATTCAATTATTAGAAATTTGTAAATCAATCTACAGCTGGTTGCAGGGCTTGGCTAATTCTCCTGGCAAGGGTCTATCTTGTTTCCTGTAGATATTTCCCATAAGAAAACTTTTTAGAGACAAAAGTCACAAAAACAAATAATGAAAGTGCAAGTGTGTAAACCAGGGACATCCTTTCCTCAACGTTTGCTTTCTTTTGATGGATTTTCAGGATTAATAATTCCCATTTCTTTCAGACTTGTTTGTTTCTGAAAAAGACTTCTCAAACCAAAGCACAGAGTGATTGCAAGAGGATTGTGGCTGTCTGAAAAAGGCATTTACGTCAAGTGAGTAATACTAGTACCAGTAGTTTGCCTTGCCAGCCTTTGTTATCCCTCCTGCTTTCGCCTTGCACAGCCCTTTGCTTTCAGAAATGGAAAGTTTAAAAAATAAATATATTATTACTAGCCGAAAGAAAGAGGCTAACTACGTCTAATCCTCCCACCCCCCCCCCCATAGTGACCTCAATTCTACATCAATCACCCAACACAACACGAGAAAAGAAGAGAAGAAAAGAGCAAAGTCTCTTTTCTGTCTTCTAATATTCTCAATCCTTTTCCTCTTCTAACCAAACACATCTCCTCCTTTTCACTTCTCATCTTTCTTCCTCTTTATGCTTTTATGCTCAGTAGGCAGCTTTTAAATTTGGTTGATTTTCTAAGTTTTTATTCGTTTCACCTGCTACCCACGGTTGTTGCTTTTTTTTTTTTTAATTCTATTAATACCAATTTGGACGTAATCATTTGATAAGATTTATTGCTTTATGGACTCCTTTTTCATTTTGCTGAATGCCCGCTTGATAATTTTGGTTTGTGCTTTTCTTTTATGCATTCCTTTTAGGTGCGGTGATTAGTTTGGTTGTTTACTGCGTTTTTTTCTTCTTTACCATTTTCGCGATTGCCTATGCACTTTATTCTTCCGTTTTCTGTCATGTTGGTATTTCCTTGTTAACAATTACGGCATCAAAGTTCTATCATTTTATTTCCTTTTATTTTCAAATTGTGAATAGCAGTAATAATATCATCACGAGTATGATCGCTATGAGCCTCTCACTATCCTCATCTTTTGTCAAAGGGTTAATATCATAAATGATATTTAAATTATAATAAATTGATTAATGTGATATTTGAATTTAAAAAATTTATAATATAATATTTGAATTATAAATATATTAATTAAAGTGAAACTTTAAGAATTTTTTTTTCGTCACGTATCATCATTTAAAATTAATCACAATAAAAATTAGTATTATTTTAATTAACATATTCATAATTCAATATCATATTATAAATTTTAAAAATTTAAATACTATATTAAATATTTCAATATAATTTAAGCATCTTTCGTGACATTAACCGTTCGCTGAATTTGGATTTTTGACGCGTTTAAACTATTGCTAACTGCAACTTACAATTTTTCTTCCGCTATGTGCAGCTTTTTAGTTGGCATCATATAGTAGATCAACAGTTTTTGACACTTCGAAGCTTGGTTGGTTTCTTCAAAAAGTTCTTTTTGGTCTAAATCTATGTTTCTTGTCTGAGGTAGGTGCATGCCATGTGCTTGTAGATTATCTTGCAAATTGTCTCTTTATGGCCTCCGAACCTTCTTATGAAAGAGGGCTCCAACCCAATACTTCTTACATAGAGGAGGTTCTGTTGAATACCAATTGGGATGATGTGACTTGTCCTATATGTTTGGATTTTCCCCAAAATGGTGTACGCCCCCAATGCTCTTCTTACGAGAAAGGTGCCGTACTTTTGTGTGTGGCGCAGACCACATGCTTTCAAATTGTTTGGATCGATTCAAAAGTGCATATGGGATTCGTATCCTTCAACTTCTGATGCAATTTCTATTACAAACATTCAGCTAGAAGTATCTGAAGAAAACTGCAGGCCAACTTGTCCCTTATGTAGAGGGGAAGTCACTGGATGGATTGTTATTGACAACGCACGTCTACTTCTAGATGAAAAGAAGCGTTTATGAAGTCCCTTTCTTGTCTCTTTTATGACAAGGTCGATGGTCATTTTCTTCTTATAATCTCTTTATGTCATAGTGTTGTTGTTGCTGCTGATGTCGATCATTTAAAGGACATCAACGGGTCTATCCTGCAGTTTAGCTCCACTAAGGAAGAAACTAACTTATTTGCTGTTCAGTTTTTCTACTTGAGATTCTTACCGAGGTGTCTCACTAGATATCCTTTTTAACTCTTTCTTAATCCCTCCAAATATTACCTCACGAACACAGCTGTACAGTGATTCAAATAGAGTGATTGGAAGATAAAATAACTTGGAGAAGTCTCGGCTGTACAGATTCTTTTTGATTGTTTGGGTGTTTATGTGCACACTTGAAGGAGAGGGGTGGAGAAGGTCTGTTTTTTGATAATTAATTACTACTGAGCCTGTTTCTCCCCTAAACGTAATTTGCAGGCTCACAAGTAGAAGATAAAAACTGTTTGACGTTAAAAGAAGTTGCCGGAATAGGCGGTGTTACATCCACTGCCAACAGGTTCCCTTCTTCAGGGTCCTCGTAACACTGCTGTTAACCTGAATAGTTTAGTTGTGCAATCGTTTGGATTAATTTGTTTAATTAGTTTTCCCTCTTTTTAAATAACAAATCCACAGAGTAATTAATGAGCAAGACAACGCAGTTTGTTCTGGTCATGACAATTCAACTGAGAGTGGCGGCAGAATAGAATTATGAGCTTTTGAGTGAGGCTTCCGTTGAGGTGCCAATTGTAAATGAAATTTGATGCTGTTGCCTCTGGTTCCCAAAAGAGTTGAAGCATGCCTGAATACACGAAAGCCAAAACCCAGCGTGGCAGGCAAAAGCAACACTGATGACTGCCTGCCATGTTCAAAAACACTTTATCACAAAAGTAAATAATAATAAATGAATTCGTTTTCCTAGTTTATAGCGGCAAAGACCACCGAACATTAGTGATCAATCCTGTAGGCAGCCTACTTTATTCTTTCAACCACTAAATTGTTTGGAATTCCTGCATTATTTAAGCTAAAAGAAGGTTTTGCTATTACAAATTCTCACTAATTTTAGCTTTTATTAAAAAAAAACTGCATTTAATTTTGTGGGGAAGAAAAACTTTAAAATAAACTTTTTACTATTATAATATATATTCATCTTGATATAATCTAAATGAAACTCAAATTGCATTTAAGGATTAATATAGTTGCCACTTGCACACCTTTTAACAATATGATACATAGTTTTATACACTTATAAAAATTAAATTAATGAAATGTTACGATCGTTGAAAGCTTGCAGCTCATGTGTGGGATCAAATGTGTCATTCTAATATTTATTTATTTTTAAACTACAATGTTATCACGTATTTTTGCTCTCACCATAGACCATCAGCTTCTTCCTATTATTAAAAAGAGAAAAGATAAATCGAAAGTAGCCCTCAGTTCAAGAAATAATCTTATTAATTTTATTATATATATATTCCAACTTCTTTTATACGCTAAAAAAAAAGATGACAAGGTGATGTCATTTTAACAAATCAGCACAACCTCTTCTGCTTTAAGCAAGAAACCTATATGAGCATACCTCAATCTCAACCTAACAATTGCCTTACGTTGGATTAGTAATAGCGTGTGGTACACAGGAGCCCTCGGATTGGGTTAGAAGTGTGAGTTGTTGAAGCCCGCCAATGCGGGAAGTTAGACCGATCTTTCATAGGCATAGAACATGGCTTCAGGTTGGGCCTTGGGAAAGGGTCCCACCTTTTGTACTTTTGACAATTTTTATTTATTACAATAAAAATAAAATGCTCCATTTCCTAAAGGAAGATAAAATTAAAAAACTAGTACTAAAACTAAAACAGGCTAAAAGAGAGGAGTGGCTGGTGCGAAAACCCTAAATAAAGGAAGAAGGGAAATGTTTGGTGGCGGGGATAGCGAGGTGGTGGGGGGGCGAATTAGCAGCTTGTCAGGGGGTGGCGGTGGGGGCGGGCAGTGGGGCCCGGAGGAGACTCGGGAGCTGATCCTCATACGGGGTGAGCTTGAGAGGGACTTCACCACTGCCAAGCGCAACAAGACCCTTTGGGAGATTGTCAGTGCCAGAATGAGGGATAGAGGCTACAGCCGAACCCCTGATCAGTGCAAGTGCAAGTGGAAAAATCTTCTCAATCGATATAAGGTCCTTTCCTTTTATTTTTTATCTTTATATTTTGTGCATCCTAATACCTAAATTCTTGTTGAACTGCAACATTTCCAGAATTCGAAAGTAAAAAAACATGTCCCGGCCACGGTTTCCTGATTTGTCTTCCCGTACCATACATGTTTTTATCCTCTCTCAGCCTCCTCATGGCTCAAAAGTCCTAACCCATCCTTAATCATATATAACAATTAAGTTCTTTGTTTAACTGCAACATTTCTAGAATTCAAAGGTAAAAAACATGTCTGATCATGTTTTCCTGATTTGTCATCTTCTCATAGTATACATGTTTTTATCCTCTCTTAGACTCCTCATGGCTCAAAACTCTTAACTCATCCTGTATAGCAATGAACGGTTTTATTCCAGCACAAAAAAATGTCACTGTCACTGTCACCGATATCGTGCATTGAAATCTCTCCAAATTGCTTCTATTACAGTTATGATTGTCTAGAGCATATCCGAAATTATTTCTTGCTTGTAGGTAATCATTTAAAGATCTAATGAAACTAGAGTTTTGCTCAAGTTGCGTAGCCCTTTCTTTCTTTCTATTTATTATTATTTTAAAAATATGTATACAATTTATGTATATCTATTATCATATTTATGCAGGGGAAGGAGACGTCTGATCCTGAGAATGGTCGCCAATTTCAGTTCTTTGAGGAACTGCATGCGGTATTCGCTGAAAGAGCCAAGAATATGCAGCGCCTCCTACTTGAATCGGAGGCAGGTTCTGCCCAGGCAAAGAAAAGAATGAAGAGAATAAGCACAGATAGATCCTCCGATGAATTCTCTGAAGAAGAAGATGAGGATGAGGATGAAAGTGAAGAGGAAAGGCCTGCTAGAAGCATTTCACGAAAGAGGAAAGCTGACAGAATTGTATCGGATAAATCTCCTAAACCAAATTCTGGCACTAGTGCTACTACTACTGGTCTCCAGGAAATGCTAAGGGAATTTTTTCTTCAGCAACAGAGGATGGAGATTCAGTGGAGGGAGATGATGGAGAGGCGTGCCCGTGAGAGACAGTTGTTTGAGCAGGAATGGCGGCAGTCGATGGAGAAGCTTGAGAGGGAGAGGCTGATGGTTGAACAGGCTTGGAGGGAGAGGGAGGAGCAGAGGAGGCTTAGAGAAGAGAGCCGAGCTGAGAGAAGGGATGCCTTGTTAACTACTCTCTTGAACAAACTCATAAACAATAATAATCTCTGACCTGGAACATTTTTTATCTTTTTTAAAGATGAATATACAAAAGTTTGATGATGCTAGTGAAAGAATAGGAGTTGCTATTTGCTAACGAGCCTGTTTGCACAAAGAAACATGGAATGTATGTTGAGTTGGTATTTGCTAATGAGCCTGTTTCTCCCCTAAGCGTAATATGCGGGCTTACAAGTAGAAGATAAGAACTGTTTGACGTTAAAAGAAGTTGCTGGAATATGCGGTGTTGCATCTACTGCCAACAAGTTCCCTGCAGGATCCTCGTAACACTGCTGCTAACCTGAAGAGTTTAGTTGGGCATCGTTTGGATTAATTTGTTTAATTAGTTTTCCCTCCTTTTAATATGTGTGCTGAACTGGATAAAGAACAAATCCACAGAGCAATTAATGAGGAAGATAATGCAGTTTGTTCTGGTCATGACAATCCAACTGAGAGTGGCGGCAGAGGAAAAGTGTGAGCTTTTGAGTGAGGCTTCTGTTGAGGTGCCAATTGTAAATGAAATTCGATGCTGTTGCCTCTGGTTCCCAAAAGACTGAAGCGTGCAGAATGAAGGTTCGCCAAAACACCTGACTACACCAAAGTCAACAGCAGCGTGGCAGGCAAAAGCAGCACTGATATCGAGAAGCAGCAGGGAAAGAAAATGAGCAGATACAACAGGACAGGAGAGATAGCAGAGGAGGAGGCAAATGATTTTAAATCGTGCCTGTAGAACGACAGACCATTTTTAAAATGTAGTAAAATTAACGAATGCAGTGTAGAAGTGGTTTTTAGGTGGAGGAGACTTAGTTTAGGAATTGATTTTTGTAGTTTCTTTCCTTGTATCAATATTGTCATATGGTAAAACGATGGTGGAAGTGATTTAACTATTTTGGTCTTATCATCTTATGCAATTTACTTCGTCCTGTGGAGCATCAAGTTTTCTTGCCTCATCATCGTTACACTTGCATCAGCCGATGGATTATAACTTGTAAGGTCTAATTACTAACATTTTCGAGTTAAGTATAATTATAAGGCCAACCCAAGAACGGCCCAATAATTCGGTCTAACCAACAGTAAATGGGCCTAAAATCATGAGGACGAGGCGGCGGTTTTTTGTCCCTCTACATTAGTATAATTTCAGGCTTTTTTATTTTTAATTTTATCTCTTTTGTCTGATTTTCAGTGGGAGTTGGAAGTAGGTGAATGGATTCCGCAATAGCCCAGAAAACATGGGAATTAGAGAACAACATCCTTGCAGTGGAAACACCAGACCCTTCATCGGACTCAATATTCTACTACGACGAGGCGGCTCAAGCCAAGTTCCAACAAGACAAGCCATGGGCCAATGATCCTCACTACTTCAAGCGCGTTAAGATCTCTGCCCTCGCTCTCCTCAAGATGGTTGTCCACGCCCGATCCGGTGGAACGATAGAGGTGATGGGGCTGATGCAAGGCAAGACTGACGGCGACACCATCATTGTCATGGACGCCTTTGCTTTACCTGTTGAAGGGACTGAGACTAGGGTTAATGCTCAGGCTGATGCCTATGAATATATGGTCGATTACTCCCAGACCAACAAGCAGGTTTCTTTCCTTTTGTTTTTCCCCCAAAAATTATGGATTTTTATTCCTCTTTTTATATATGATTTTTCTGTATAGCTAATTTTGATGAAACCCTAAACTAGCTCGCTCTCACTAGTTTACTTACTACTTTTAATTATGTAAGATAGGCCAAGACAAACGAAAGAGTTGATAATTATGTATGGACACGGAAAAACCTAATAAGTAGTTGTTTTTATGAGTGTGCTCATTGTTAATAGCTAATCCCTATTCTTTTTGCGCAATCTAGAAGGAAAATTGTTATTAACCTGAATTTTCCTCCAAACTTGTATTTGAGTTGACTAGGTGGTTTTCACTTATGTCCTTTAAGTTATCTATATTTGTATCAGTAATAGCTGTTTTTGCTAGTTTGTCTCATGTTAAGGATTTATGACGCCCTTATAAACCATAATAGTGTTGTCTATGAGAATCATTTCTCTTAAGAAGAATGTTGTTTGTTTCATAGGCTGGACGATTAGAGAATGTTGTTGGATGGTACCATTCTCATCCTGGATATGGATGCTGGCTCTCTGGTATTGATGTTTCAACCCAAATGCTCAACCAGCAGTTTCAGGAGCCCTTCCTGGCTGTTGTAATTGATCCAACAAGGACTGTTTCTGCTGGAAAAGTTGAGATTGGAGCTTTCAGGACATACCCTGAAGGATATAAGCCTCCTGATGACCCTATATCTGAGTATCAGACCATTCCTCTGAATAAGATTGAAGATTTTGGTGTGCACTGTAAACAGGTTATTATGTGATTCCATTAACGTTCTTCTTGAGGATGCTTATTGTCTCACTGTTTATTATTTTTTGTTGTTTATTTTTCTGCAGTATTATGCATTGGATATCACTTATTTCAAGTCCTCTCTTGATTGTCATGTCTTGGATCTGTTATGGAATAAGTACTGGGTAAATACCCTTTCTTCTTCACCTCTATTGGGCAATGGAGATTATGTTGCAGGACAAATTTCAGATTTAGGTAATTGTTCTTTTCTTGTTTCATTTGAAAGGAAAATGATGTTGTATACGTAGTATAGTTTTATTCTTTGCGCATGAAATCTAGACCAAGTTCTTGTTTATTTGATTATATTGTTCCATCTTTCAGCTGAAAAGCTGGAACAAGCAGAGAATCAATTGGCTCACTCTCGCATTGGCCCATTAGGAACCCCTCGAAAGAAGGAGGTCAGTATAGTTATTGTTATCTTTGTGGTTCTCTCAAGCTATTTAGAGGATAATTTCGTTTTCTCTCACTAAATGCAATGTGGATACCCACTTATGAGTTGCAGGAAGAATCACAGCTTGCTAAGATTACTAGAGATAGTGCAAAGATAACTGTGGAGCAAGTTCATGGTTTAATGTCACAGGTGACTTTCTCTTCCAGATTCTCAGAAATTCTTACCTTAATCCTGAAAATTTTGTACCCATAAATTGATTCTCTCATACTGTTTTAAAATTTTATTCTTAATTTTTTTTTTCCCTTCTATATTTTTAGGTTATTAAAGACATCCTTTTCAACTCTGTACGACAGTCGAGGAATGAGCAATCCAGTCCTGAGCCTATGGTTGAAGCCTGATCCTAGCATCAGGACATCTTTGCAATGCAGCAACAGATAAAATGATTACCTTGCTGATGTTTCCTTTGCCTTGAGAGACCAGTTTTTACAAGAAAAAAAAAAAGATTCCAGGCTGCATAGTTTTGTTCCCGTCCTTACACCATGTAAATCCTTTGGCGCGGTCATCATTGATTTGTTTGGAACTAAGCTTTGCCTAATTGTCTTCATTTATGCATGTTGTATTATTAGCAAGGAATCAAATCACAGTAGTTTAAAATTGCTAATTTCCTATTTAGAGTTGTAAAATGGTGAAAACCAGCAGGTATGGGAATAACAGATGTCATGTTATAAAAAAAAAAAAAAGGCTGAATTTGATCCCAGGCAGTTTTACAAATGAGCAATGGTTCGAATTGAGAAGACTTGCAGTGAAATGGAAAAAGATATTATTGATCATCAGTTAGCCAACCCCTCCTTTTCTCTCTCTGCCACTTCCTCACTCCTTTTTTCCATGAAAAAGGAAATTGATGTGAACCATATATAGTTCAACCTCTGTCAGCGCAGTATCCTTGGTGGTGGCAAACGGCGACAGAAAGCCGAATAAATATCAAAAACGAAGTTCCCTGGGCATGCTGAGGCCCGGCAGATTATCTAGGCCTTGAACTTTTGCCTACGCAAGAAGAGCTCGTCTAAAGTCTGCATTCTACAATCTACAACTACCGTCTAATAAACTTTTAATTTAGGCCACAGGATAAGTAAAGGCTTGTTTGGCCCAACCCAACTTAAGTCCAATAGGTTTTGGTAACTTTTGTATCGTCATAGAGGACCACAAACTTTTTCTTTTTTTCTTGTTGGCGAGGACCACAAACCTTCAATGGAATGGAACGTACAGGATTATTTTAGTAACATTAGTCTGCATAGCTCTACCAATGTTAGTTAGCGGTGGGAAGTGATAGGAATCATCAAATTTGCTCGGCCACTTAGAAAGTGAGCTGTCCGCTCCTTATCATCTCCAAGTTTGAAATGATACTGTAAGCATTTCCAGTGTTCTTCATTACCTAGGCAATGACATTGTCCGGGAAAGTTGCAACCTTGACAACAGGGTGAAGTTCACTGGATGTGTCATATTTTCTTTCATACCCCCTTTCTCAATTGAGAGGGCATCAAAACAACTCAACAAAAGCCTCTGATTGTTTCTCGAGAATCTTCCTGCCCTGTATAAAAATCTCTAAAAAGCATTGGTTCCAATAAATCTGGAGGCTGTACTGCAGGGCAGTCACTTCTTTTTTTAGCAATTATTCCTCTGGCAGACATCTATTGTCTCTCCCTGCCCTCTCCCTTCGCTTTACAAACTTTGTGTTGGTTTCTTCTCCTTCTTTCACTGGCTCAAATGGGTCAAAGAGACTTTTAAACAGAGGTGTTCATAGAGTACTAGTAGTACCGAGCATTAGTGGAGGTTTGTTTAGTGGGAATATATTGAATTGAACGTACTATATCTGATACCTGCTATGATCTGCCACTCTGCATCCATCTGGAATCACCAAACACTTACAAGGACTAAGACACACTAACATTGAGATGAAAAAAGAAATTAAAAAGGTGGATAAACAAAAGCTCCACTCATGCAATTTTCTTCCAATATTGTGGCTCAAAGCAATTTTTCACGGTATATACATTGAACAGGGAGGCGGCAGTCAAAGATCAAAGGTCTCCCAATTAAGATATTCCTTAATTAGAATGGATGGGGCCAATATTATAATGAGAAATCATGCTTTAATCTCCACGGTCTATTTAAAAAAAAAAACTTTTCTAATAGTAATAGTGATGTGCTGGTGATTGCCTGCCATGTTCAAAAATACTTTATCGCAAATTAAATAATAATAAATGAATTCGTTTTTCTAATTTATACCGACAAAGACCACCAAACATTAGTGATCAATCCTGCATGCAGGCAGGCGGGCAGGCTAGTTTACACTTTCAACTACTAAATTGTTGGGAATTACTGCATTTTTTAAACTAAAACAAGGATTTGCTATTACAAATTCTCACCATTTTTACCTCAAGGTCAGCAAACTTAAAAAAAAAAAAAAAAAAACTGCTTTTAATTTTGTGGGGAAGAAAAACTTGTAGAGAAAAGGAAAAAGAAATGCAATATTGTAAGATGAAAGTAATAAAGCCAAGGATGGGTTTGAAATTTTAAGAAAACAATGGGGTTATGAATCTGATAGAATGGGCATTGATTATGTGGCCAGCCATAGGCTGTGAACACAATGTTGAGAGAGGTTGCAAATCAAAGGTAAATACATTTAAAAAAGACAAATTTTATAGATACTGAGACGTGGACATTAACAATATAAATATAAGACGGTTTGACATGAAACGCTCCTATGCTCTCTAAATTTACTTATGTGCTAAATTAATGGAATCCAATTCCATGAGAAAATAAATGCTAAATAAATTAAAATAAAACTTTTTATTATTATAATAAATATTCAGCTAAATATAACCTAAATGAAACTCAAATTGCATTTAAGAATTAATTTAGTTGCCACTTGCACAATTTTTACAAGTCTTGTACACTTATAGAAATATATATATATATATATATATTATAACATATATAATTATCAGATATTAATTACTTATGTAGACGCTTACGTGGATAGTTTTTTTTTTCGACATGTAAGATAATTTCTAAAATTTTTTATTATGATGACACATAAAATATTTATTAATTTTAAATTATTTATAAAAAATATATTTTAAAAATTATTAAATTATCTAAAATTTTAAAATTTAATCAAAAATTAATTTAAATTCTAATGAAATATTTTTTATTCTTTACATCAATTTAAAATTAATTTTAAAGTAATTCATTTTTTTAATTTATCTACTATTAACATTATAAAATACTT